TTTTACAAATGATGAAACAATATATTGTATTAGGAAGTTGAGACAACCTATATTAAGCAGAGAATCAATCATTAAGTTTAATGTTCTAAATTTTTCTAATTGTAAGCTTAAACAGGTAAATCAAATCAGTTGCAGTGTTGTTCATTGTAATCAATCTGAGAGTACTAATATGTTTTCAAAATTTAATTTAGAGTCTGTTGCTAAAACATTTCCTGGTATTTTTAGTGATATAGGTGAATTTAAAATGGAAATGTCAATTAGAATTAAGCCAGATGCTAAACCTTATGTACAGAGCGTTCCCAGAACTGTTCCTTTACCTCTGTTACCAAAATTAAGAATTGAAATTGATAGATTGCTAAAATTAGGGATAATTGAACCCATTGAAGATCCTACTTCTTGGGTCAGCCCAATTGTTTGTGTGGACAAGGGAGATTGTGTACGGCTTTGTGGTGACTATACTAAACTTAATGAAAACGTGTTACGGTCACATTTTCCTCTCGGGAAAATATCTCATACACTAGCACAGTTGAAAGGGTCTAAATTCTTCTCAAAATTGGATACCACAAGTGGGTTTTACCAAATAAAATTGAATAAGGAAAGTCAGTTGTTAACAACTTTTATAACACCTTTTGGCAGATTTTTCTTTAAAAGGCTTCCATTTGGTATATCTTGTGCCCCAGAGTATTTTACTATGAGATTTTCAAAAATCTTAACTGGCATTGAAGGCTGTGTTGTCCATATAGATGACATTCTTATTCATGCAAGGACAATAGAGGAACATGACAATATTTTGAACACAGTCCTAACAAAACTTCATAAGGAAGGTATTACACTAAATAAAAACAAATGCTCTATAGCAACAAAAACAGCTAAATACTTGGGTCATATGGTCTCTGAGCAAGGGATATTAATTGATCCAGATAGGGTTAAAGCTATCCGTGATTTTCCTGAACCAAAAAATAAGACTGAGCTGTCAAGATGGCTGGGTATGATTAATTTTGCTGCAAAATACATTCATAATAAATCTGAGATTCTTGAACCATTAACACACTTACTAAAAAAAAATATTAACTTTTTGTGGGGTCCAGCACAAGATAAAGCTTTCAGCACTTTAAAACAAAAGTTAGAGAGCCCTCCAAATCTAGCGTTTTTTGATGCTAATAAAACCATAATTGTTAGTGCAGACTCAAGTTGTTTTGGTATAGGTGCATGTCTATTTCAAGAAAATGTAGATCATACTCGGGAAATAGTGGCTTTTACATCTAGGCTTCTGAACTCAGCTGAAACACGATACGCTCAGATTGAGAAAGAAGCTCTTGCACTTACATGGGCAGCAGAATATTTTTATGATTTTATTTCAGGAGTTCCTAACCTAATTTTTGAAACAGACCATAAACCTTTACTACAAATTCTGCAAACTAAAAATTTAGATGAGTTAACGCCACGTTTGCAAAGATTTCGAATGCGTTTAATGCGATACAAGTATACTGTAATCTACACGCCGGGAAAAAATTTAATTGTAGCAGATACTTTAAGTCGGGCCCCTTTACAAACAGATACGTTAGCTAATAAAGAACTAACTGCTGAAACTGCAGCATATGTGCAGTCAATTATTCATAATTTACCAATTAAAGATTATTTTTTGAATTTAATAAAAACAGAACAAGAAAATGAATATATTTGTAAAAAACTAAAAGAATATTCTTTGTCTTCTTGGCCTGAAAGATCTAAATTGCCATTTGAATTGTTGCCATACTATCAATATAGATATGAAATTTCCTATTCGGAACAATTACTTTTAAAAGGGTCTCGCATAATCATTCCTAAGAGTCTTCAACTCAAGGTGTTGGAATTTATTCATACAGGCCATATGGGAATTGTAAAATGTCGAGATCGTGCCAAACAGAGCGTTTGGTGGCTGGGTTTGTCATCCCAGATTAATAACCTTGTCACACATTGTCCCCAATGTGTTGAACACAGAGTAAATCATAGAGAAACATTTCATAAAGACAATACTGTACAAAGGCCGTGGCAAAAACTGGGGGTTGATTTGTTTAAATGTTATGATAAGTGGTATTTGATTGCCACTGACTACTTTTCACATTGGTTTGAAATTTTTACTTTAACCAATATGACAGAAGATGCCATTATTCCTAAGCTTAAAGATATTTTCTCTCGTTATGGTATCCCAGAGGAAGTTAGATCCGACTGTGGTACTCAATTTTCATCAAAATTTATAAAGTTTTCAAAAGAATATAATTTTGTTCATACGACGAGCAGTCCGCACTGGCCTCAGAGCAACGGTGGAGTGGAACGCACTGTACAAATTGCAAAAAGATTAATTCAGAAAAATAAAAAAGAGGACCTAAGTTTGGCATTGTTAGCATATAGATGTACACCCCTAGAATGTGGTGTTTCACCTTCTGAATTATTAATGAATAGAAAATTAAGATCTAACTTACCCCAGCTTCCAAGCTTATTAAACTTTTCAAAAGAACCAAACACTAAAAATAAAAAGAATGAAATAAAGGATAAACAAGTGAAAAACTACAATAAGCGACACAATGCCAAGGATTTAGATCCTCTTAAGGTTGGTGATTCTGTGTGGGTGGTTGATATCAGGAAATATGGGCGAGTTGTTGCGATCTGTCAGGAACCCAGGTCCTATATAATTGAAACTGAAACCGGGAAATTTAGAAGAAATAGATGGCATTTGATTCATGCACCCTACTGTTTCCCTGTATTGAGCACCCAACCAGAATCCTCAAATGATTATGTTCCGCCAATTTCTAGTAACACAAAGCTAATGCCTTGCTCTAATCAAAGCAATGGTGACATACAGGGTAAAATAATGGAGGAAAGTAGTAGGGGGGAACCCAGTGTATTTCAGGACAAAATCGAACAAAGTGGAAATCATGTTTTACCTCCATCGGGTCAGGATAAAAGCGATAGTGTATCGGACTTTGAGTGCGTAAAGCCTAGCAGGCCAAAAAGACTTGTGAAGAAACCGGTTCATTTAACAGATTATGTTTGTAGTAGTTTAAGTTAGTTTAGGTATAAGATCATTAATGACACAGGGATCTTTTATAAAAAAAAGGAGATGTGTTGTTAGCTTAGATTAAGATATAGGCGCCGGAGTTAGGCAACACAGATGACAGGAATGTCATGTGAACGTAGCCGAAGCTCGGGCAAGGATGTATGTTTGAGGGTTGAGAATAAACTGATGTTGTGAAGTAACGATTATTATTTGTAACCCCTCTTTGATAACACGACACGACCATCTTAAATATCTTTAAAATAATATTATTAGAGACATCTGTTGGTGGACAGCTGAAATAATGAGCATATAAAGATTTCTAGATCTTGCGTAGACCATAGCCATCGGGCCGGAAAGGGCAAAGGGCTAAAAATTTACTCTGCAATAAAATGTAAACATGAATATTTTATATAATAAATAAGACGATGAGATCTGCTGTGAAATAATTTTCATTGTTATCCTTTTCTAATTCTTCACAGTTGTCTAAATACCTATTAAATTCTATTGCGGATTCATCATGTTTTCCGTCGGTACTTAACTAAGTGTCTCATATGTTAAAACCATGTAGGTAAGAAACCACCTCCAAGTGGTTGCTTACCTCCATGGTTAAAACATTAACAATGGTCAGCTGCATTTGGGAGCAAAATGTTTATGTTATCCCAATCATCTCATTGCAAAATTGCAAAATTGAAGCATTAAAAATGTGGGTTCATAGATGAATACTGAAGATATATTGGACAGCAAGGAAAACTAAAGAAGAAGTACTTAGGAGCGTCAACAAAGATAGAGAACTGCTAAAGACTGTTAAACATCTAGAAATGTCTTATCTGGGACATATAGTAAGGGGATGTCGATATAAAATATCACAACTGATCCTTAAGGGCAAAATAGAGGGCCGTAGAGGTGTACGAGAGAAACGGGATATCAAATGCGGGACAATTATTCCATATTGCAGAAGATCGAGAAGCCTTCGCAATGGTGATCGCTAACGTCAGATAATTCTGATATGGCACGCAAAGGAGAAGAAAAAGAAAACATAAATACATTTTTTAGTGTTCTCTATTGTGTAGATCTATTTTCAATACTTATGTTAAAAATTATTCAGTCAATCGATATAAGAAAACAAGACTCGTATACACTATTTAAAATGTTTATAAAACTTCATTCAAAATCAAAACAACAACTTAATTTCAAATATCTTCAAAATATATACAATGATCCAATCCGAAAATTAGAAATTGTGAAACTTCAAGGCTTCAACTAATAACTAAAGAATTAAATTTTGGGAAAATTAAAATTTTAGAATATGAAGTACGTGCTGCCATCTACATAAAGAATTGTTAAACGATAGTTTATTTGAATGACACCTATTTTAACTGTGGCGCGAGCATGAATCGTTTCGCAAGACAAATGTCAGAAAAATAAATAAGATAATTTGGCCCTATTATTATTTAATATTACACAAATCGTACAATATTGTAAAGTAAATATATTAAAATTGTAGATACATATATAAAAAAAATAATTAGTAGTGAATGATGTTATTTTTCTTATAAATCAAAAATATACGATCCTTTTTTTGTAAAATTATACTGGTGAATTTTAAATTCATTATTTTTTTAAATAAAAATAAGAAATTCGTGGCTTGAATATTACTTATCTACTGAGGTTTTTACAAATATAATCCCACAAGATCCTTTTTGCCATCTATATTATAATATCAAAAGCTGCGTTACCTTTGCAGTTCGGTTTATCAAACTAGAAATCTGTAAAATACTTGCACAAGCGTTCCGGTAGTTACCCAATAGGTGGAACTACTAAAAGTTATATGAATTTGTTGGTCTTTGGCCTATGCTAATGTTGGATCAACAGCTGGTTTGGTGTAAATTTGAGACAATAATAATTTGAGAGAAGAAAAATCGGTATGTCACAAATTCTGACAGTTTAAACTCAAGTCAATATTGACATGTCAAAGGTCAGTCAGTGGAAAGGTGTGGAGTGTAAACGGATTTTACACTGTTTAATGTTCTCGTCGTGAAATAATTAGTCCGTTCTAAATGTTGTATTAGTGAAGTGTTTTAATGAAATCAGCTTTCGATTTCTAAATTGGATTAGTCCCAGCTAGCAAAATGGCTTCTGGAGACACAATCGAAACTATTCAAACTATGGATACATTTCAAATGACAAATATGAATAGCTCCAAGGATATTCCAGGATTTCGTGAATCATCAGAAACGGAAGAAATTGATGGTAAGTTTTATTTATACTTCTAAACAATTTTAAAGCTGAAGTTGATAAAATATAATGTAAAGACAAATCTTATGTCAGGTTTAATACATAAGAATTGATTTTAAGTAATTTTTCCTTATATTTTTAATTTCTTATATTAAATTTATCACTCTTTTTGAAGTACATTACACTATTTTCATTTCTAAAGAAAAGTACATTGGTGTATTTTAATTTTCTATGTACTTACTACATCTCATTTTATTTGATTTCTGGATTTTCTCTCAGGTTTTATTTATTTTTCTCTGATATGTTTTGATCTTTTTGTGGCCTCCCTTTCAGTAAAATTTGCTATAAACCATTTTTTTCGTAAAATTACTAGCTTTTCTTATAAACCCATGTTTTTAAAGTTGCCTCATAATGAACTGATGATTGGTCAATAATTTAATCTTAATCTAAGAACAAATTGACTTAAATTTGACCTGGTCCCTCTCTGGGTTGAAATTCTGAACTTAAATATTCCTTTCATATTAATTAATTTTTTTGGCCACATAAATTTCTGATCCCTATAATTGTTATTGTTATTCGATGATCCCTAATTTCTTTTCCCTTAGTTTGTTAATAAACATTCATATTTACAAACTTATTTTGTTAATGTATTTTTTCTTATATTTCAATAATTCTTTTTCACTATTCGCTTCTTTAATAATTTGCTCTCTTTGATTTCCATTGCTTATGTCAAAGATGTTTAAAACACATTTTTAGTCATATTTATGAGCTGTTTTTCATCATGAACAATTTCAGTCACTACCATCTAGTAAAGGTAGTGGTTAAATTTCTGCTCTTACTAAAATTTGGTCATTGCGTGTGTTCTTGTATCTATTCTAGGATATTTTTGTGATTTATTCTAATTTTGATATATTGATCATACTTGAAATGTAATGTTTTTTTTTGTTCTGTTGGTCTTTTTATTTATGGATAATTTGTAACCACCATGTGATGGCATCTTATGCTGATTTTAAATCTACTAACTTTTTTCTCTTTTGTAAAACCCATTGTTCTTTGATATATTCCCAGATTCCAATGAACAGAGATAAATTTCAGTATAATTTTTAAGTAAGTAACAAGGCAACTAAATATTTTTATACTTTATAAATAATATCTATAATATCTGTAGTGGTATAGCTAAACTTGATATTTCTGATTTTTTGCCAAGTTCAGATTATTGGCTTGATATGTCATTTAGTAACATTTCTTCAAATTGGCAGAAGATAAAGATAATTCATAATGTCGTAGACCTGACATAATCATTTAGTGACATTGCTCTAAGAACGAAACAATGATGTCAGGCATTGCTAAAAACATGCAGTCCTATTCAGTGTGCAGTTCTCTTTATTCAGAGACAGACACGAACTAGTTTTTGCGTTACTGAAATAGCTTTAATATTTTTATTTTTTTTTTGTGAACAATCATTTACAATTCAATTAATTGATAACTTTGTATTTAACTTATTTCGTCTTAAAACATATTACCAGCAGGAGTGGTTCTAATTTATTTAAAGAATAATTATTTTTAAACAAATTGTATAAATCAATTTCATCTGCCGGACATTTTTTTTTTGGTTTTTTGCATCATTCTGAATAAAAAGGTGTTGTGTAAAGCTGATCGTTTTCAACTTATAAACAATTCAAAACTGAAAAAAACAAAACGAAAAATGATGATTTGTAGGGCTTATCTGATTTTAAAACATTGTTTTTAGCTGTTTGAGGCCCTTATCACAACCTAAAAATGGATTTATACAAAACTGTTAATAAATTAGGACCACTTTTTATATAAGCGACCTCTTGAACATTATTCTGCAGTATTTTATGAAAGTGATTACTTATGCAAAAAATCTCACGGGAATATTTTTCCCAAGAAATTCGAGCTTATCGTCTCATATAAACATATTTTGCTGATTTTAAAACCAAAATCCTATTATTATTCTATCATACATTGATTTGTTATTTATTTATTTGCCCTCTAGATTTTTTACAGTTCTCAAAAGGTTTATTTATAAGCCAAATTAATGCAATGTAAATATTTTACATTTTTACACAGCAATTCTTATCGGCAGTGAAGACAGGAAGTTGTAAATTTTTATTACATCTTTCAATGTGAGATAAAATAAAATGCAATGACTCACTGGAATGTTTAGGATTAGAGAAACATAATGTCATATTTATTGGAAATACCGATATCGTTAGCAGGTGAGAATCCTACCTTGTTGCCTAATTTCCTATGAAATTAAAGTCCATTTATTTTTTCGGGCATGCATATTTATGAGGTTCACCAGGTTCTGAACTTTTCTAAACATAATACAGTGAAAGTCAAACTGTTAAAAATGAGAATGAAATATATGATATATCAACTCTTGTACTTACTAGATACAGCAGAACTTGATATGTGCATATCAAATCCTGCCGAATCCCATACCTTTCCCAGAGCTTGGGAAAACAACTTTGTAGTAAACACGAACATGAAACACACAAAAGCACTCAGAATTTGATATTTCTAGGGTAATAACACCTCTCTCAAAACATGTTTTAGCCTTAGGGGCTATTGGCCTATAAGATTTAGGTCAGACATGTCAACTTTGATATGATATATACCAATAACAGAATCTTTGTTTATACATATTTTTAAATAATTTGTACAAAAAACCTTTGTTTCAGAACAATTTCCAGAGTGGAAATCTAAACGTCAAATATTAGTTAATTAAAAATGTTATTTTTATCACAATCACACAACCACTAACTACTAACTGTGGCTCAATTACATAAAAATATAATACATGTATAGCTATGTAGGTACTTTCATTCCTGAGAGGGATTTTGTAAGATTGTTTATAAACTAGATGTCACCTGGTCCATTTTACTTTTTTTTGATGTGAAATGAGCACTTCTTTGTTGTGCACAGCACTAACTCTGCTTTTCACTAACTGCTCACATCCTTGTTGTAGCTAGAATGCACAACACTAACTGAGCCTTGCACAATTTCACACATTACACAAGCTCAAACAGTTTAGTTTGAGCCATTGTATCTGGGGTTGGTGGACGAGAAGCTAAAGTACTTCATGGCTGGGATGCTTATGGTGGACATCCAGATGTGAACAAAATTTTTGAGAGATACTTCACCATATCAAGTCACCTAAGGCTTGATAACATGGAAAGATCACTATCATAGCTGGATCCTTTTGATACTGTAGGTATCTGGGATAAGTTATTTTCCCGTTAGAGGGAATGAGAGTTGTATGGATAAATTTGTATATTATTACTCATTGTGCTCACAGACCAACCAGTGGCACATAATAGACTGGATTTTATTAGACTAAATAGACAAATATCTCTTATTTATGTGGGGATATTTAACAACAATAAATTGTGTTTAATACAACTAAAAAATTGTCAAGCGCAGAGATGAGAGATACAAATAAGAAAGTAATGGATAATGGAAAGTACACTTATTTTTGTCATTATTTAAATTAAATGTTTTTTAATAAGATGTGAGTTTAGTTTAATTTATAAACAAAGTTTATACTTAATCAGAAATAAATGAATCATTGTTTTTCCATTTAACCAAAACAATAACAATTTGCTGCTCTCTATGTCGAAACTTATTACTATTGTATTTGAATGTTCTATAGGGTGAGGAAGGCAAACAAACAAATTTTGGGTTGAATTGCAATGTTATGTTTATATAGTGTATAAACTTACCTATTAAAATATATTTTAATTTTGTAAAAAAATTGCAATTCTCTATCAATGCCAAATAAAGTGTAGAGGCATATTACATAAAACATTAAAATTTTTAATAATTTTTTTTTATAAAAGTTTTTAATTCCTTCGTTTCTTTTGTCTATATATTTTAAAATTAAACTAGACAAGAAAAAAATTATAATAATTTATAATTGATGATTGAGATTTTGATAATTGTGTATTCCTGGATATAGTAATACATTCATTCATAGACACACCTGCATACTGAATATTATATTAATCATATAACTTGTTGAGTTTGAACATATAAGACCTTTACATTTATATAATTTTGCAATAATGCAGCTTTGTTCTTAAGATAGTCTTGACATACTTTTGTATACTTCTTTGTAATGTTTATGAGAAGATGAAAACACTTTAAACATTGTAATTGTTTTTTAGATTGGAAGTCAATAGTTATTGTATTTGTTTAGACTGTGATTGTAGCAAATAATGTAACAGAATGTTGATTTTATTATCAAATAAATATTATGGACAATAAAATATCTCTTAACATTAACCAAAGTACAAGCTGATTATAGCTGCAAAATATTTAGGTTTGTCAGTGTTAGAGTGATTTAATAAATGTGTTGTATGCACCCGACACCTTAGGGTAAATGGGTTTAGGATCATCATCATCATCATTAACTCCACAACCCTTGGTGAGTCTTGGCCTGCTCAAAGATAAGTCTCCATTCTGTCCTATTCTTCGTCTTGGCTTTCCAGTTTCGAACTCTCAAATTTCTCTTCTGCACTTACTGCATTATTCTGATTAATTTGTGAGCCTAGGTATATAAACTCTCTTACTCCTTATGTATATGTTCCGATCGTTAGATCTTCAGATTGTGCCGCTTGTATATAATTTGATCCTTTCATATACCTACTTCGTCTTACTAGTGTTAACCCCTAGTCCCATTCTTTTTGTTACCCATTTTTTGCTCTTTTTGCTCCCATTGTGTTTTGTTATTAAACCGATCCTAATTTAGCAGATGTTTCAGTTGTAATATAAAGTTTTTCTAGGCAGAATATGAAGGCTAAACTGGTCGAAACAATTTAAAGGAAGACCCCCATTTTTTGCATTTTGTTTCCCAATTGTTACTATTTTTTAAACAATAAACATTAAAAAGAAGTGGCATCATACGAAAAAATTATATTATCTTGTAAATTAAATTAGATTTGTTTTTCAATTAGCCTCATAAAAAATATTACCTCCCATGCAGCATAATT